GAAGAAGAAGAAGAAGAAGGAGAAGGAGAAGGAGAAGGAGAAGGAGAAGGAGAAGGAGAAGGAGAAGAAGAAGAAGAAGAAGAAGAAGAAGAAGAAGAAGAAGAAGAAGAAGAAGAAGAAGAAGAAGAAGAAGAAGAAGAAGAAGAAGAAGAGGAAGAAGAAGAAGTAGTAGTAGTTACCTCCGAAGAAGGACACCCTCAGTCTTGCAGGCTCTGCAGGGTACACGGCTTCGGCCTGGCCCTCAATCATCACCGGGAACAAGATCGTAATTCCGAAACTGAGGATGAAGGAAAATTAGGTTGAAATTGTAGACATTTGGTGCCCCCATCGACACATTCTAAATCAGTTGGTATATGTGCTCCCGGGGTGAGAGGAATACAAAGTAAGAGCAGACAGATTGAGGTATTCGATTTAGAAATACTAAGAATAAGTTAACAGTACAAAGGATAAGACCTATAGCAGAGAGAAACCTGAGCAACGCTCAGCTTGGACTCCTAGGATGCCTTAAAAAAGCTACGTTTCCCTGATTTTTCCCCGTTACCCATTTGTTTAGGTTCCCTAAGTAGGTTGCTCTGGGCCTACCCCTACCACGTTTGCCTTCAGTTGTGCCCGTGAGAGCAAGATGATCAAGAACTTTATGTCGATTCTCGTGTTCCAAAAACTGCATTGGTCGTTTCCTGATTGTTTTAACAGTAAGCGTCCAACGTGGGCTTCATCAAGTACTACCTCATTTGTTTTCTTTTTTCCTTCCCCGATATTCTTAGCAGTCTCCAAAGAAACCACAGTTCTGTTACTTCTATTTTATTTTCACTGTCTTTAGTGACTGTCCAGCATTCACAGCCATATTGAAAGTTTTACCATTCGTAGAATTTCAGAACTTTCATTTTGGTAGTCATTGAGATGTTTCTATTTTTTAGGATTGGGCTCGTATTATTGAGACTAAACTTGGCCATTGCAGTTCTCCGTTTTATTTCTGCTGAGCATTTGGTACCAGATGTTATTATATATCCTAGGTATTTAGACTGTTAGACTTGTTTGATCTTTTCGCCTTAGCTAATGAAATTTTTAATTGGATTTGCTTCTTTTTATAATATTACCACACATTCTGTTTTCCTCACATTAAACAATAATCCTTTACGCTCACTAAGTTTTCAAATAAAATTGTGTATACCTTGTCTGCACTTTAAACCTAGTGACACGATCTATCTATCAACTACCCCTATATCTCTCTCTATTTCTCTCTATCTCTCTATCTCTCTATCTCTCTATCTCTCTCTATCTCTCAATCTCTCTGTCTATCTACCTATCTATCTATCTATCTATCTATCTATCTAACTATCTACGCTTGGTACTCACATTCTGAACCTTACCACTCCCTCATTTCTGACACTGATGACCCCATCACCAGCATCTCCGTAAGTGGCGGTGACACATATTTGGTTCGTCTCAAAGAAATTTGGAAAACGTTCTAGCTCATACCAAAGACCAGTGTACTGCAAACGGGAAATGAAATGAAAATAAATTATAACTCGTAACACCTTACGCTGCAAATACAGTAAGTTAAGTAAGGCTCATGGTTTATTTAATTGATCTTTCTGCGAATAGGGGATTTCATGGAAAAAAATGAAAACAATTAATTAGACCAAGATACATGTCACTAGGTAGAGCCAAAAGAGCTGAGAGAAATTTAAGAATAAACAGCAAGAAGATTGGATAAACGGTTCAAAAGTTATGCAAGTTTTAATTTTTGAATTTGGGCATTTTTCGGAGATAATTAATTACTTACTTATATAGACGAGAGGGTGGCTCCAAATTGTGCCAAATGAGGCATGAGAAAGACAACTTATCAAGAATTTTTCCTAATTCATAGAAAACGTTGCCTGCAAAACATAGGACAATCATACATTTCCAGAAAGGATATGTAATTGCCAACATGATAAACAGTATGTAACGTAATATGCAAAGTCATGTGACCAAATATGGCCGCCAATATGGCCGCCATTGACGAAACCTGCAACCGATTTTGACTTAAAAGTTGCATAACATTAACGTTTAAAGTCAAAAACGTACAAAAGTATACCATATTTTCTTAATCAGCATGACTAGGTGCATCTAACCAACTGTAACAAAAACAACAATAAATTAATTTTGTTTTGTTTTTAAATCCGAAAAAAAGAATGTAGTGAGCACGGACAACACTAACACAGAACTGATTAAGCCTTTCTCAAAAGGTCGGTTTGGCTGAATTGATTCTTTTCCGTCTGTCATAGTAAACAACACAAATGCCACATTTGTATAAAATTAGATTTAAAATGAATCCAACGCCCGAAAATCCGCTGGACTCCCGGAAAAAATAAATAATAGGTCGTCTCTTACCCAACCAAGGAGTGCCGTAACCCGCCACAAAATGCTGTTCGAACTAATGCAGGTATGGCACATCAGCGCTAAAACGCAACGTT